AGATAAAAACAACCAGATGGGGGATCACAGGGAAACCATTTAAATGACCGTGTTCAGCGTGAAGAACAGTGGCCACGTAACTTGACAATGTTTAGGCAGAGGGTTTGCTTTTTGTAGGCATCATGGCAGAAAAGAGGTTTAAGGTCTGATAAGAACAATTATATTTATTTTGAAATAGTAACCTTTTTCTAAAAATGTCCCTTGGATCTTGTTCAAGACTGCACTTCCTAATGACATACATAATCTGACCAACTTTTACTGGCCATACTGTTGGACCCCACATACTGCAACGAATTTAAATCTACTCAAACACATAATCTATTGTTAAGCAAAGTAAAATATAGGCTACAACAAAAATGTAGACTTGGATCTTTGCTGTAATGTTTTCTGTTTTGTTGAATTTATAAAGTTACTGGATTAGAACAAGTTAATGTATACGTTTAAGACAGTTGTGTGGGGCAACTGGAAAATGACTAGGAATTTTCTATTGTACTCTTAACAAGGCTTTTGTTACTTAATTGTTAATTTGCAGAATATAAACATATCTGTATGCAATACAAATTAGGAATAATGATGTCAAATTTGGTGAATATTGGCTAAATACTTGTTGGGAAATGTTCACTCATAGCTTCTGGTTCTCTCTCACTTCTGACATGTCAGCTGATCTCCAGTATAGTGGGACACGTTTTAGAGTCCAATTAATAACATTTGCTTCCTCTTGGCATCCTATCTTAAAGTGAAGTTTATAATTCTATAAAACAATAAGCCAACATTATTTGAATTAGTTGTTTTCTTTTGCCATGGCTACAGTAGCTATACATATAATAAGTAAAGCATAAATGATTCATGCTCAACCTACTCTTTCCATTTTCCTGGCTAATTCTGCCTCTTCCTCATACGTTTACCCTCTACAAAACAACCGTCCATCATTTCTAGCTCAGTAAAACTCCGAAAACAACTGAAAAGAAGTAAAAGGACAGATTTTTATTCAAATCTTTCAGATATGCCTATTATTTCTCCTAACTCAGTCAGCTACTCCATATTGAAGGATAAACTTTCAGTTAAGAAAAATAACAAAACAAACAAAAGACCATTGATCCTATCTTTCAAATAAAACCTACCTGTTCTATCAAATCTACTTAAGATTCACCTCTGCCAATTTTTGTGTAAATAAATCCTGAGCTGTTGACCTGACCTTGTCTATAACCTCTAATTGTAGCAGATAAAATAGGTAGTAGTTTAGCTTAATTACAACATAATTCCTTCAAATGTTGCTTATGCATGAGATTTCAAGGAGCTTTAATAATATGGAAAATGTGAAGAGCCTGCCATATTCCACTTGTTCAGGACAAAAAAGCCCTGACAAAGGCTGCTAAATTTCTTGTCTGTAATCAAAGAATAATTCCTGCAACGTTTGGGGAAAGTACACAGTGGTTGAATCCAAGATTTAAGTTTTTAAGACAATTCAGCCTTTTTTAATGGAACTGTGACTGGTGCTTCCATAATATTCTAATCATTCTGCAGTCTGATATAAAGGCATTTTGTATCTGCTGGAAAACCAGTGGTAGTCTTAACCTGTAATACATGTATTTTCGTCTAATGTTGCTTACTAATGTCCATCTTGAGTAGAGTATTAGGATGCAACTTGCTAATGAGGAAAAGATTTTAAAAAACAATCTTTCCCCAGCACCCGAAAAAAAACCCTGAAGGCATGAATTCATTTTCAAAAAAATAATTTAATCTCAGAATTCTTCCAGTTTGGTGAAAGGAAGTCTGGATGGAGTAAGCCTTGATGATTGCACATAATTTTATGCATGCAAAATTTTTTGGAAAGGCTAAGAAAATGCTAGGGAAATGTGATCTAGATGAAATTACCATAAGGTAGATGTACGACTAGTTGAAAGACCATACTCAAAGTAGTTATCCATGGCTGTCTGTCCAACTGGGAGGATGTATTTAGTGGAGTCCCACAGGGGTTAGTCCTGGGTCTGGTACTATGCAGTATTTTCGTTTAATGACATGCATAATAGAGTGGAGAATAGACTTCTAAAATTTACAGATGACACCAAGCTGATAAGAGGTTGCAAGCTCTTTGGAGGACAGGATTAGAACTTAAAACAACTTTAGCAAATTGGAGAATTGGTCTGAAATCGCCAAGATGAAATTCAGTAAAGAAAAGTGTAAAGTACTACACTTGGAAGGAAAAAGTCAAATGCACAATTATAAAATAGAGAATAACTGGCTTGGCTATAGTACTGCTGAAAAGGATCTGGAAATTATAGTGAATCACAAATTGAATGAATCAACAATGTGACACAATTGTAAAAAATGTCTGTTATCATTCTGGGGTGTATTAACAGGTATCGTATATAAAACACTGGGGACAGGGAGGTAACTGTCCTGTTGTACTCAGCACTGGGGAGGCCTCAGCTGGAGTACTGTGTCCACTTCTGGATGCCACACTTTAGAAAGGATGTGGACAAATTGGAGAATTCGGAGAAGAGCAACAAAAATTATAAAAGGTTTAGAAAACCTGGCCTGTGAGGAAAAGTTTTAAAATAAACTGGGCATATTTAGTCTTGAGGGGAAAAAAAGACAAAGTGGGGACCTGGTAAGTCTTCAGATATGTTAAGGACTGTTGTGATCCGGACTGGTCAATTGTTCTCCATGTCCACAGAAGGCAGGACAAGAAGTAATGGGCTTAATGTGCATCAGGGGAGTTTTAGATTAGATATTGGAAAAACTTTCTAACTATAAAGATAGTTTAAACTCTGGAATAGGCTTCCAAGGGAGGTTGAGGAATCCCCATCGTTGGAGGTTTTTAAGAACAGGTTAGACAGCCGCCTGTCAGGGATGGTCTAGGTTTACTTGCTCCTTCTCCGCACAGAAGTCTGGACTTGATGACCTCTTGTGGTCCCTTCCAGCCGTACATTTCTATGATTCTATGCTTGGTGTAGAATTACTCATTAAGAAGCTGTGAATTAAGCGGCCTGCATGTGAAGCTATGATTCAAATGGAAAAGCCCTTCTTATGAGAGCTCAATCACTGAGCAAAACTCTCACACTGGTGCTCTGTGATTGAGGAATGGCAGCATAGCTCGTGGATTTAGGAGAATGCAGACTAGTTGTTCATTTTTGTCCAAATTTCAAAAGAGACAAAACGATGCCAAGAGTATTTTTCCTTTTGTTATTCCCAGGGCTTTTTAAGTGTCCTATTCTGCTAGGGGAGATTACTTGCAGTCATTAGAAAGAAAATTTGTGCAAGGGATACGTACTATGTAATATGATGTTATTTTTGCAATACCTCAAGTTGTTCCAGGATTTTACTAAAAAGTGAATAGTGTCATTCATGACTAGTCAATAAATAACTTAATTGTTAATTAACTGATAGAATATTATGGTATTTGTCTTGATTTGAATAAGCCAGAGCAAGAGAAAAAAAGTATTTACAGCCTAGATATTTTCTTTCTCCTGATGAGTTAGAACTTTTAGAGTAAACAATTTAAGTATATATTTAGGGGGTGTGAGCCATGTAGTTAAGATTGTGAAAGTGTACCAACCAAAGTCCAGCATTCAGGCAGTCCTCGTACCTTCCTGCTGTAGGCATTACTAACGTTATGTAGAGGAATCCTTCATGAACATTCTAAAATTTGAAAGGGAGCTCCATAAATGTGTTCTACCTTAATTTTATATGCAAAGTTTTATTATGTCATGAATAGAAGAGCTAATACTTGGATTTAGATTTGTAATGAGTCCTCTACATAGCAGATGTCACATTTGTGTGTATTTTTCCCAGCTAAATTGTTTTTTAAATGATAATCAGTTTTTCAGTATGTTTACATGGAGCTGCTCTGAGAATCTTCACTTTTACTGTAGTTTCAGTCATAGGCCTAGAGATAGTAATGTAGGGTTACCATTCGTCCGGATTTACCCGGACATGTCCTGCTTTTTGTGTTAAAAATAGCGTCCAGGGGGGAATTTGCAAATCACTAAAGATGTCCGGGATTTCCCCCCCCAGGCAGAGCGAGGCGCGGCTGGGAGGGCTGCAGGAAATTCAGCCGCTCGCATGGGGCTCTGGCAGCCAGAGCCCTTCCCCCGCAGCTTGCCGGGCTGGACTCCGGAGCAGCTGTAGAGCTTCTCCTCCCCCGCATTCTGAGCCGGCCGGCCTGCCGGGCCGTTCGCATCGGGCCTTGGCAGCTCCTCCTCCCCTGCTGCCCAGCGCCCCGCTCCGGCAGCACTGGGTGGGGTGGGACCAAGTTGTGTGTTGCGCTGGGGAGCGCAGCCACGTGTCCGGCTCCGCACAGAGCCCAACACCATGTTCTGAGCGGCAGGGTAAGGGGGCCAGGGGGCAGGAGAAGGGGCAGGGAGATTTTGGAGGGGGCAGTCAAGAGACGGGGGCGGGGGTCGGGAGTTCGG